CTACGTCGGATTAAAGGTTGGATGCTATATATTCGAAATACTCACAGGGCTCACAAGCTCGAAGCACGTACACCCGTATTTCACAGCCGCACAAGCGCTAACGATCCCCTTTTTGTCTCCCCGGCAATGTTCCGCAAGCGGAGCATAGCGCGATGTTAACAAGCAGAAGGGATTAAGGAGTAGATGGACAAGTGGTCCGCGTCATCATCAACGGAGTTCCCGAGGCGTCTGATAAAGCGCAGTGTGCTGTGTTTATTCGCTGCGAAGAAGTACCGTTGATCGCCTCCTTCGTCATATTTATATACGCTGATATCTTCGTTCCGTGTTTTGAGATTAAGGAAAATTGTGATCTCGAATCGATAAAGCCTAGCTCAGCCTTTGTCGACGAAATCGGTGGCACATCGAAAAACGTAAGCAATAAGAACACAAACGATGAAGAATCGCCTTCAATCGGGCGTAAAAAAAGTTAGAAACACAAAAACCTCACACGACGCAATTCTTCGAGAAAGAAGATTCTTATTGTCCCCAAGAAATGACTTGAGGATATTTAGAGGACGTGATTAGCCGGTTCGCTTATTGCTTATGTTTTTCTGACACTACAATTACCTCGAGTACCGCGAAATTAATTCCCAGTAACGCGCTCGCGTGTTCAGCATTAGTTATGTGGAGTCTTTGAAAAAAATCCAAAGTGCCTGCGATCTTCTCTTTCCCGGGTCTCTTAAATTCGATTGGCGCGTTATCGGCACAATGAGCGAGCTGATAGGAGGCCATCAATAATTACCTGGACCCATGCCCACCTAACTCTAACGAAGGACGATTTCTAACGATCCCCTCGCCAGCGTCCAACTTCTGGACGTAATTAATTCCCGGGCTAACCTGGAATGCTATAATTAATTGCCGGTGGGGATGATGAGGGGGTAGAGCGCAACGGGTGCAACAATATGTACCCCGCTTCGATTAGAAGTGTGTGGGGGTTGGGTGGCACGGTAGCGGCGGAAAGGGGAAGAGAGAGGGGCAGACGGTGGGGACCGCCTCCGTTCGCAGTTATGCAATTAATTAAATTCAGTTTGTTATTCGCCGTCGACTGTTAATTGCCGCAAAACTTCAAGAAACTGCACACGCTTGACGTTTCAAAATGCATCGCGCCGCCCTCACGATCGTACTCAAGATCGCGATAGTAACTTGTCCCCATTGTTGTTTTTCAGTATTCGGGCAATCGGAAATTAGCGTCTACGAATTTTTTTCTCGTCGCGTCAAAAAAGGTCTCGTTAACGTTCCCGCGATAATTCCGCGCGGGCGCGCGCGCGGCTCTCGATTCACAGAGGAACGGAAAAATAAGCACGGGAAGAAACCTTAACGGATTACGTCAGTGACACGCTCATATAATTAACAGACGCGTGTACAACTGCGCACGTGATGCACGCTGGTAACCGCGCCCGTTTGACCTCGGATTTAATTGATACGCTTGCAAGACAGCCGGCAAATAAAAGATTAGGACATAACGCGAGCGGTTTAATTAGCGAGGAGAGGTTTTCCCTCTCTTTCACTTTCACGTAACGAACCGTCTTGCGGTTATGCTTGTCGGTTGTCGAAAAAAAAAAAAGAAGTTACGATCCGGATTAACGAGAAAAATCGACACCTTTGGACGAAGTGAAAAAGAATGAATCATCGAGACGATGTTTCTTTATTTTTTTAAATTCTATTAAAAACGAGATTCAACATCACGGCCAGTATTTACAATTGTGCGCGCGCGTGTGTGTAATATACAATATTTAAGAATGTGTGTGTGTGTCTTAAGTACGATGTTACACACAGTTGAAAAATTTGTATTAAGTTTAACACATTTTATATGTTTCAAAGATCTATAAAATTTTTGTATTTTAGCACAAGATGAATATATTAGAAAGTAAATATTATTATTAATTAGAAAAAAATGAACGCAAAAAATGTAACACTGACAGAATTTGTAGGTAGTCATATTTCTTCATTAAAACTCATTAACATTTATAATATGTCAAATTAATATATATTTTAATAAATTTAACATTTATAAT